ATTCTCTCTACTGTAGCAAATTTAATTAGGTACTTATGGTGGTTATAAGCTATTTTTGATATTCTAAAAAATGTTTTATACACCCAGTTTAAACCACCAACAATAAACGGTGAAGGAAGAAAGCGGATATTATGGATATAATATAGCAGAAAAAATAATATAATAACATAAAATCATGATAATATAATGCAAGTCTATGGATACAGTTGGCTCAGGACCGTGCTTAGTGGCATTTCTTGGGGGAGGCCTATGTTCAGCAGTGGACTTGTGAAGGGCTGTAACAATGATGGAAGGAAAAGCAGGATAACCCTGACTTTGAAGATATGGTTTCACCGGTCACTTACTTGTAAGCTATGTTTTAACTTTAGAGTAAGCAGTCAGGATGTGTATGTAATGTGTGCACTGGTTTAATTTATATACATATTAAAAGTTTTTTGACTAAAGTGATGCAAAAAACAGATATAAAGATAAAATTTTGGGAGACGACATCTTGGTGGTTGCCAGTAACTTTATTAAACTCATATTTCTTGGAGGAATATATATATATATATCTTTACTAGCTGACCAGGCAGACGTTGTTCTGCCCTTTTCGAGGACCCTTCATATAAAAAATCCTTAAAATCGTAATAAAAAAATATTGAGTGTCACTTATCATGATAAAAACTATCCTATCTCTCAAGTTGGACCAAACTGCACACAGTGTGCAAAATTTGTCAAACTGTGTGCAGTTTGGTCCAACTTGAGAGATAGGATAGTTTTTATCCCGATATGATTCACAATATTTTTTTATTGCGAATTTAAGAATTTTTTATACGAAGGGTCTTCGGAAAGGGCAGAACAACGTCTGCCTGGCCAGCTAATATATATATATATATATATTATCCATTTTGATAGTTTGACGTCATGTCAATAAAAATATAATATGGAATATGTTCGCAAAATGTCGGTGAGTTGCGTGCTCTTACACGATGTAAATAAGACAGTTCACAGTGCGTTGTTATGTTAAGATTACGCTAAACGATCAAAAACGGTTGTGTAAACACGTTTCGGTGACGAAGCTATATGTGTGCGCGCTGCGCGATAATCAAGACATGTATTTATCCACACGTTTCAAGATACATACTGTGGTAGTGTGGTACTTTTAATATAAGAGTCATTTCGCGACGTCATTTAGTTCTTTATACAATAATGGTATAATTTTACTTAATGAATTTAGCAATATTAATTGTCATCTAGATTTTTCCATCTTAGTGCCATCAATGCAACGTTTATTTTGATTAAATGCTTGAATGTTAATGTCTCTTGAGAGTAAAATATGTATACGACGGCGAGATAGTGTGTGTTGACATTTATTGGAAACTGAGCATCTTGAGATAAATTATCAGTTAAATGTGGAATGTCTTTTAATTGTTATCATGTGTTTTTAATATTATTTTTAATTATCTTTACGATAACAGTGTTTAACAATTGTTACCTACTACATCAAAATAAATTAATAATAGAAGTAAAGAACAGCAGACCATTTTGTTCCTTGCTTTATTATTGAACGATCGCAACTCGCATACAAATAATGCTAAGGCTGTGAGTGATAGGTATCAGCAGAACACAAAGACATGAACGCATTTATCTCATGCATGAGCTGATTAAGAGCGACGCGTACAACTGCTGTCGTTTAACATAATAAATTGTTGATAGACTTTGGTTCAATAGCTTTGCATTGAAGAAATAAGGTTTAAAATAGAAGATTCTTAGCTATGCAGGACTTTTGTCTTTATTATTTGGGTTAAGTTGTCAAAAAATATGCTTAAGCTAGATGTTGTATCCTTCTTATCCTTTATCATCAGCTCGTGAGAGTTCACATTGGATATGAGCCTCTCCGCTGTAGGGAGTATAAGGCGTATAGTATAGAGCCTAATCTTTTTAAAAGGTCGGCAATGCATCTGCAATTTCCCTGGTGTTGCAGTTGTTCATGGGCGGCGGTAGTCACTTACCATCAAGTGAGTCGCAATATCGTTTACCTCCCTCTCATATTTGGGTACATACGTTGGACATGCCACATATATTTTATCTTTAATTTGCACTTAATATATCAGTGGTAATTAATTGAAAGGGAAACCTGCCGCCACAAAATGCATATAATTAAGCAATAAATAAATACCAAAAAACACCGTTCATAAAGAATGACACTGGTCCAAACGATCCTTGAATTTGGTGCGTAATGATGGTATAGAGGGGAATAAAAGCGACGATAATTCACACTTAATTTTTTGAATCTAATCCGTTACCGTTACAGCCTATTAAAGTCCACTGTTGTACATAGGCCGCCTCCATAGATAGGCTTCATAGGGGGGGATATTTGCCATAGTTGCCACGCTAGGCAAGCTGGTTGGCAACCGCAGATTTTATTTTTAGTCAGTATTAGGAAGAGGCTGTTACCTATCTCCTGATTGAAATTCCTCCGTCGTATCTTACGACACCCACAGGATGATATGGGGTAGTGGATATTCTTATGCTGCCACTACACGGTACATCTATTCACAGTAAATTTATTCGCTCTATATTATTTAGTTTAATTAATGATTTTTTGGTTTCTGGCGTTATTACTAACCGTAGCATACCGTTATTTAGTTCTAACGTTAGCTATCAGTGCTTTTTGTTTTAACAAGAATACTTTCATCTTAATCAGAGTATTCATTAACTGTATTCGTACCAAAAACCACAATAACCTCAAAGAGAGCTCTTGACTCGTTTAATATTTATGGCTATTTTATTTAACTTGCAGGCATTGCGCTTTTATACTTAGTACTTCGTCTAATTTATTTTCGTGACATGACAAGAAGTTGGCAAAAGGGTGTAATGTAATAGGTAAAACAACTAATGATGTATATTAGGATCAGATTCCATAGACCGTACACAGACTTTACTTTCCATTTACAGTTTAACTTCAGAACATAATCATATTTTATATTCCTGATTAAACCTCATTTTACTTTACAAAACAAAAATTTCTTACGGGAAGTCTAAGTAGATTGCGTTCAGTTTATTTTGTTCCTCGCATTGTATAGTGACTAATAGTAAGATTATCTTAATACGGCTATATTATAGGTTAAAGTACGGGAAGAATCGACTGATATGTTAGAAACATAATCATAGTATAAGAAATTAAGATCCTTTTTACTGCAAAAGTAAAAATAAAATAGTTAAATAGCTTTGTGATATAGGGGCATGAATAAATGTAAATACGGTACTAATACTTTCCTAATTTTAGATTTCCGTAATGCAGTGCATTGGCAAATAGATGCGTGGTGGCAATAAAAAGCCAGTTGGATTTTTTTTAATTGCTATTTACTTGTTGGAAGTCAAACATCAGGAGTTTAGTTTGTACCATACATTTTAGTGCTACATCCATTTTCGAAACCAAGGGTTTAACTGCGCCAGCTGGTTAGAGGTGCAATACTAGAGCTTAAATTTGAAGTAAGATTACCACTTATTTGAAAGTAGTAACTAGCTTCGGTAGTTATTAACTTCCTTCTGCGTAGCATTGAAAGGAAGTTAATGGTTTTAGCTGGCAGTCTGTTAGTCTGTATGCCGACACGATAACTTCCGTTCCACTGGACCGATTGACTTTAAATTTGGTATGTGGATACCTTAGTAGCTCGGTCGAGTTTGAATTTTGGCCCTGTAGGTCAAAGGGCACCAGAGATATGGGATTCACGCAGAAGGAAGTTGTTTTTCTTGAATTTACATTCAACTCGTTTATGTATGCACCTACATAACTACGTGTATATGACGATTTTTTGAAACTAATGGATGTCATTCAAATATTACCAGTATACTTACTGACATTAGATTGAAATATCTTGTACATGAAACTGCGATTAAGCAATTGAAACGACAATTATATAATAAGTTAACCATTTATATGGGGCGGTAAATTAATTAGATTTTTGTGTTTGATTAATAAACATCGTTTTATAAATTCGTACCTGTGTTTTATTGATCTGCTAAAACCTATCTTATAATTACCTGCCTACGTAATTAAATTAATAACTTAAGTAGAATAACGCATAGGCGTCAATCTAGGCGTATCCCTATTTAACCGCTCTGTGTATCAATCAGTATCTATAGAACATCTGTTTACCCCTGGCATAAAGGGCAATGGGCGATACGCGCACTCTATATAGCATGCTTGTGTATAATCTGAGGTTATAATAGTGACGAATATAGATTTTGGGTTTATAGTTGAGAGTTAATAAATTCAAGTAGTTGAGAGTTAATAAGTAAGACTACTGTACAAATATAGATATGTCTCTATAAAAAAACTAAAGATTTTGGGTGTATTAATAAATTGAAGGTAAGTAGAAACATTGGTGTATTGAGTGACGCCATACACTTTACTATAATTTGAATATCGGAGACATTGTGTCCGTTTAGCAACATACTAACTAACAAGGAAACAAAAACTAAAGATAAACGCAGGTCATATTATGAGAAGACACATTGAAGACGCAAGCGTTATCAACACAAAATAATACCGGTTTTACTTGAATTTATAAATTATTTCTACTAGTATATAAAAAAACATTGTCGTTTGAGTCCGCATTTTTTTTGTTATTTATTTAAATATTTTAATATAATTATGTCGCGTCAAAATCTAAACTGCTATTACCATGTCAAGTTAATTAAAATAAAAGTAAACATTCTACGATGCTCCCAGTAAAAAAGAGAGAAAGAACTCATAAAATTTAAAGACACTTATGAATAAAAACTTGACGATTATGTGACTCTGTGTCCCCGAAGTAAAATAACAGTGACGAAACCAGCTTCAGACATAACGCTGTTAAGTTAATCGCAATACATCCAGTTGATTGCTCTTATCATTACGGACTGCTTCTAGATACAAGGTAATATTTTTTGCACCGCTACTGGCCCTGAGCGAGAACTGGATTTTTTTTCTCGAGATATTTATAAATAGTAATTTAAATAAATTAATTACTTACTGGTGGTCACGTTGAAAGTTCTATTATTGTCGTTTGTGGAGTTAGCAGGGACGGAATTGGGGGATGCGTTCGATGCTGCAGTAGTTGCGGCTGATGTTGGAGGCTCAACTGTAGACGATAAATCAGCTGTGTCACGTCGATAACGCTCTCGCTCCAACAAAACAATATCCGGCTTAGCATCGAAGCTTATAAAACTGTCTTGAAGAGTGTATTGTGTGTTTCCTGAAATGGAAACATTCTTTTACATAAGCACTACACAAATCGATAAAATATTTTAATAGTACATTGCGATAAAAAGAAGAAAAAGAAAAACTAGAAACAAGACGTTAACTAAGAGTTTCTAAATTCAATTAATAAGATCTACCTATAACATAGTTATTATAGTTTGCCGAACGTGATATGATCTTCATGATCTGCGAATCACTGCGACAATTCATTATTTTATTCATATCCCCTCAATGACATAATACGAAATAATATTCTTGTGCGGAGATTTTCTTCTTTCTTTACTTTACGTTTTAAACGAGTACGTTATTTACAACTATTCTTAACAACTGAATAAACAATAAAGTCAAACAATAGCTAGTTTTCTAGTCTAGTTTTCTATATGGATATGAAGTAATTGTCAAGCGAAATGATGTTTATTTTCTTAGATAGATTTTCAAAATACAATGGGTATTTTTAGAACCAAATAATCTAAAGTGATTTAGTTTTTAGCCTTGAATTTAATAATTGTGACGGAGATAAGAGTACGTATGGAATTAGATGTGAATGGCAAGAACAAAAAAAATATCATTCCTAAAAACCAGCGGTGTTATTAGTTAACATACAGAATGTGTTTAACACAACTATGATACTGAAATGAAATTGTAGCAAAAATTAATGTCGCAAATTTTTCATTGTTATATAATATAATAATAAACATAATAAATTGTTTATTATTTCTCAATACATTGTAATGCATTGCAGAAATTGAGGTAGCACCAGTAAGTTATATAACACTTACGTAGGAACTACCTTGCTGCTGCTTCCCTTAAAGCTGTTACAATATTGAGACCAATCCTTACAAAAAAAAAACAAAAAAAATTAATTACATTTAAATTTTAAACAAAATGTGATTCTGGAAATTAGAATTACAGTAACTTATTTTTGACACAAAAAATGTAGATAATTCTAATGTTCTCCCTGGTATTGAATTTTACTTAATATCACGTGTTTTTTTTTACAAAACTGAAGCAACAAACGTACTTATTGTCCATCTGATGGTAAGTGTTGACTGTGGTCCATGGACACGTGCAGATAACTTCTAACAAAGGCTGTACATGCGTTGTCGCTTCTGAGGGCTAATACCATCAAATAACAGTGTAAGCTCTCGAACCAAATAGCGAGAATATCACTAAACTTGATCTGTTTTAACATACATATCTATAATATAAAAATGAATCGCTGAATGTGTTGCTAAGCGTAAATCTCGAGAGTAGCTGAACCGATTTCGCTAAGTCTTATTTTATAATATTCCTTGAAGTACGAAGATGGTTCCTACGTAGAGAAAAATTTAAAAAAAATCCTGAAAAAGTCTAAAAGCAACACTTTTCTATATTCCCATACAAAAGATTCGTAATAATACTTAAAAGTCAATTTTAACTTTAATACCATACCATCAAGTTTAAGTGTTAGTGGAGGGGTTCCGGGAAGGCAAAACAATTGAGTGACTTTAGAATCGTATAAATATTAATGTCAATATTTGTCAAATAACTCTACGCGGGCGAAGTCGCGGGGAACAGCTAGTATGCGATAAAAATCAGCATTTAGTCCACCACTAGACCACAGCGGAATAACTGAATATAGGCCTTTCTCAAAGCCTACCATAAATCATGTTCCTGAGCCGCTTGTACCTTTTATCGTCAATTTTTTTTGGGTGATTGGGTGACAAAGGAGCACACAGTCCACCTGATGGTAAGTGGTTGCTGTGATCCATAGACATCTACATTTATCATCCATTCATCCTCAATAAAGAATCAAAGTGCAGATGAGTGCCCGTGAGGTCTAAGATGGAATGCCTCTTTTCCAGTAAAATGGGTCTCCGTTTCTCTACAAGCTGTGTCAAGCTGCTATTTTACACTGGTATTCTGTGAGAGCGTGGTTCTTCCACGATCGAGCCGATCAATTCGTGCTACAACTATACTACCAATATAGCTGCAGCATGGCTCTACCACGTATAGTAGGGGGTCGCCCCCTACTAACTACCACGAGAAATATGATTTCTTATATTTATGCGAACACTACACATTTCAATTAATTAAATTAGTCTTTACGGATTTTATTCCGTATATTAACTTATATTCCCGATGTTTCACGGTCACGGGTCACGTAGTTACGGAGGACTGAGGTGTCCGACGATAAAAATTATTAATTTTTGTTCCGATCTACGCAGTAATATGAATTTATAGTATATTAAAGTCTTGCAATTGTATGCTTGGGTTGAAATATAACTTTATTAACCCTTTCACCGCCATAGTCATAATATTACGAATCTTAAGGTGAATACCGTCAGCGCCCTCACGTAATATTCCGAAATGCTCACGTTACTAGAAAAACTGCAAGGTTAATTCGACTTTACTAGCTGTGCCCCGCGGTTTCACCCGCGTATATCACACGTCTGAGCCGCGCGGCATGACACCATGCTTAAAGATAAAGTTTCAGCCTATAATAGGTCCAAAAGTTGCTGGCCTGAACTATAAAATGAAGGATAAATCTCAAACTACTATAATTATTTTTAGATATAATCTCCCTTTATTTCAATACACTTTTCATAGCGCTTTACTAACTTTTCTATACCCTTAAAAATAGTCTGAATTTTTGCCCTCAAAATGTAACAAAACTGGTGACTTCACATTACATTTAAATATTAAATTTTTTGTCTCCGCAAGTAGGATTTCAATTTTAAGAATAAATAATATAATAGGAGTCAAGTCGGGGCTATATGGTGGATGGTCGAGCTCAGTGACACCGCATTCCTTAATGGCAACCTTGAAAACACCCCATGTGTGCACCGGAGCTTTGTCATGAAGCAACAACCCTTCTCAGGAAAATTTCGCGATGTTTTTCGAATCGAAAGAGATTGTAGCTATAACCATTTTCTTAGATTAAGTCACCTTTGCTTTTCTGGCCGCGTTGAGCTCGGATAACGCCACTCCATCGATTCCTTTTTTGATAGAGGATCATGGTAAAGAACCATGGTTTTAACACCAGTAACAATTGAACCCAAAACTTCTTTCTGTCGGACTTCACAAAGGTATAAGAACTAAGTACAGCACTAAACTTGTTCGTTTTTAAATAAGCGGAAGGAAGTTTTGGGGCCCACCGAGCACTGACCTTATTCATACCCAAATGTTCATCTAGGATTCTAAGCACTGTTGGTTTTGAAAGTCCCGTCATAATTGCTAACATTGCCTTCACTGGTAACTAGCAAAGCTTGTACACTTTTAACATTTTCAAGTACCTACTCTATTTCAAGAATACTAATATTTTGTCATAATGTCAGCAAATCGAAAGTGAGTGATATATTCGACAGTCATGTTGATACTTCTTTCCTGTACCTTTAATCTCACTGTCTTCGGAAAATTTTATAGTCAATATTGGACCTTAGATGGCGAATTTTTCAAATTTAATTATATTTGATCGCTTTGGTCTTTCAGCAATTTTAAAAACTTATCAAATATTTCACATCATTTGTGTTAACAGTCACACGATTTATTTTTTTCATGCGCAAATGTTCATGTAAAATTCCACCGATGGGATCTTTGCTAATCTGTTTACCTTCTACTATTTACGTTTTAATTATTGTGAATACATACTGGAAAGGGCACTGACACGTAAACAGCGATGTTCTTGCGCTCCTAAACTATAATTACTGTACTCAATTGCTTCTAATACATTCAAGTTAATTACTTTTAATTGGTGTAAGCGGAAATATAAATTAATTTTGTCACAAAAGTGTAGGCAATCTGAATTAAAACATTTAAAGTTTAAAAAACTAAACTCAATATTATATTAAAGAAAAATAAAAGTAATGGATCGCATTGCTGTGTCTAAAGTGAGATTATGTGTAGTGGGATTAAGTTTTCAAAGGATCTGCCTTTCGACTCTCCAATCGATGACAGTCGTTTAATAACACTACGTTGATTTTTGATTGAAATAAAAACACTAACATAATATAATATATTATGTTATACTTTATTCTTTATTACAAACCGACGTTTCTGCAATAAGATCAAAGGCGTGAGGAACGTTAAACGAACGAACTCAATTTAAAATTCCTATTAATACATGTACCATATATCTTAACATACTTAATATTTTCAAAATACTTCATTTTCAACGTTTTCTATGCTGGTGTATAAAATTGTGTTCACTCACTCGGACTTTTTGTGTTAGAATCAGTAGGTAGTTAGTTAGCTTGTGAGTACAAACGGTAAAATACCAGTGATGTAATTTTTTGAAATTAGCAAATATAGGCCGTACGTTGTAAGCATAAAATTAGTAAGCATTCAACAGCTCAAAACATATTTTGTAGTGTGCGCTAATTATAATATTTCGCTATTTTAACTTTATTATGGTGTTGTTTTTGATTAGCGAGGCCTTTGTTTCAATAAAACCGAGTTGCTATCTTTGTTGTAAAAATCTTAAACATTCTGTCCTTTTTATCTTTTAAATTCAAAATGCGTGGTAATACATTATTTTAACTGATTGTCATTCATAAATATCTAACGCCTACAATTTTACTACGCACGCACACGTTCGTAAGGGTCGATCGGTCGGCAAAAAAAACTTTTAAAAAAAAAGTTGTAAATTGAATCGCACACAGAGGAGCGTGCGTACGCATAGTTGTTGCCCGTAAATCACATTCAATTTGGGATAATTTCAAGTAAAAGTAGAAGCCTTATTTACACGTATTTTCAATAACTACAATAACGGTATATCATTATTTATAAATTTGAACTTAAGTTTAAAATTGGTTACTTTAGAATAACCGTGATTTTTAAAATTTGGGGTTTTAAAGATTACTTTTAACAATCACGCTATTTCGGCTACGAAAATACCTTTATCAAAGTTGGCATGTTTCATTCAAGTAACAAGCTTGAAATATCGGATAAATAGCTTTTACTGAACACTTTTGAATAAAAATATAACTAAACTGTAATATTTAAACTAGTGAAACATGGGTGTATCTCTGTCTCTAACACAGCACATTTCTATAAATTCCCAGAGCAAAATAAGCTCCTAAAGTTCAACTCCAAAAATGATTGAGGAACAGCATATTTGATTTATATGAAATTTATTAACATAAACAATTGATACCAGGTGTGCATGGACCAGTAGCCTCTTAATATCAGGAAGACTATTAGTATTATCTGATCTTGCCATAAATTAGAGGAGGCCTATTCAATGCAATGGTATACATGGTTGGTTTACTTTTCATAATTTTTATTATTATTACAAACCTTAGTATTGGAAAGAGTTGGTTAAATTTCTTTTACTGTCTTCCAAAAACTCTACAACTTTCAAAGTAACTGTACAATGTAATTTTGTTGTCACATTGATTACACAAAACATATACACAATAAATTGTCTTAAGAACTAGATGTATTCTTGGTTCTTGCTGCTTGATTACAGATTACTGTTTATTTTTTACATTTATAGACCTTACTTTTTTATATTAAAATATTAGACCAAGTTTAAAAGAAATACATTATATAGTTTAACAGGCAATTTTATATAGTTTATACTTAAAAAGTGAGACATATTGTGAATAAAACTAGAACATTCATAATTATTCAAATGTGCAGTATATGAAATAAACATGATAAACTAGTGTAAATCATTTTTACAATAAAACTGTTCATATAAAGATATACACAGACGGAATTACCCTATTGAAACAAAGTATTATGAGATAACAGCTATAATTAAATATGATTTATGTAAGTAGTCTGATTAACTGTAAAATATAACTAATTAGTAAGAAATTAATGATATCTTTATATCTATCATATATAGGGGATGGGTCAAAATTCAAACATTAGATACAAAAAAAAGGAAAATACCTGCACTATTTTGACTAAAGTTAATAAATAAATCAAATCTCCCATATCTGTAAAATAACATAAGTCAGGGTAATTTATTTGTTAATTAATAATTACTATCATTATCATTTTGCTAGTTTGTTATATTCAAATCTTAATTTGTAATATATAATAGAATAGAGACTTAAATCAAATTAGCTCTTCTTAATTAAGGAGTAATGTGAATCAAATCTGGCTTAAAACAAAAATGAAGCAGAAGTTAGAATTCTCCTAACAGACATCAGTAACTAGTTGTATCTTTAACTTCCAAAGAAATCACTTTTTAATTTGTATAAAAGATAACATTAAAGTAAAACATTAATAAAAATAATAATAAAAGAGTATTCTAAGCAGCAGGTGTTAAATCTTATTTTTCAACTTACTTCAAAAAGGAAGAGGTTTACAATTTATCAAAATCTTTCCTTTTTTATGTATGTTCACCGATTACTCGAAGACGTCTGAACCGATTTGGAAAATTCTTTTTTTGTTTCAAAGGGTATACTTCCCAGTTGGTCCTATTTAAATTTTATCAAATCGGTCAAGCAGTTTTAAAAAAATCAACAATAAATTATATTTAATATTGAAGTTGGTTATACAAAATTTTTAATTTTACCACTTGTATCTACTGGTATTTAAAATTTACTAGAGGTAGCATACGATGTAAAAACACAAGACTCAGCATTATCTGGAAGAAACCTGTTATGTTTTTTGTAAACAAAGTTCGCCCGAATTTTGGATTTTTATTAAATATTCGGCCAAAGTTTGTATTTGATTCAAACCACATTCGGCCCCACACTGATTTTATATAATTGTTGGTACATCTGTTGGCGATCATATTCAAATAAATTCTAAATTTATGACCCAGAATGGCTCATATTTTCTTCAATAAAATAAACTATGAAAGTTTATTGCCAAAAAACAATATCACCTAATCTGCACTGATGGAGCTGTAGTCGAGTTATTAATAAATCTTGTATTTACACTGTAAAAGTGGAGTGAAACTCATCGCACAACCTACTGGCAAAGGCAGAACATCTGCTGACCAGCTAGTACATTAATGTAATATATATACCAGGGGGGGTGGTGTAAGAGATGACATCGGACACAGTTGGGGATAATCATCTCAAAAGGTGTAAGAACACTGGTACAGCAATTATCAATACACCTGCCAATTTTGACAACTAAGGCACAGACATAAACATATTGCAGTACATTACAAATCCATAAATCTCAAGAAAAATAAATAAATAATATTAATTTCTATAATGATTTCTTAAATTGATGCGAACACTACACAAGCATCCCTCTTTATTGAAATTACGATATTTTTTAATTTCAATAGCCTCATGTATCATCAAACAAACTTCAGAGTTTTGATCATATCCTAGACGGATAGATATGCCATTACATTAGATGTGATAAACCACAAATTCTCGTGAAAGAATATCGATTCCTACCAGGGATGATATATGAGGCTATTGAAATTAAAAAAAACATCCTAATTTCAATAGAGAGGGAGGCTGAGTACTACCAACTGTCTGGGATCTGGTAATTAATAAAATTAAAACTAAACCCAAGCATACCAATTCAAGACTTCAAGACTTGCAGTGGTATATACTTCAGTAAGTTCATTCTGCATAGATCGGACGAAAATTAATAATTCAAAAGCTGAAGGTACTCCGGGTTAAGTTTGACATTAGGTCGTCAATCACGTCAGTCCTCTGTGATCATGATTTAATAAACATAAGTAAATTAAACGCGATAGAATCCATAAAAGTAGTTTTATTCAATATTAATTTCTTTTTAACCAATTTCAAAAAGAAGGAGGTACTCATTTCCATTAGAACGTTTTTTTATGTGTGTTACTTCATAACTTTTTCTAGGTGAACCGATTTCGATGATTCTTTTTTTATTCAAAAGCTAGTGCTTTCCCAAATATATTTAATCAAGGCTTGACCTGTAGTTTTTGAGTTATCCTTATTAATTTACTAGCTGACCCGGCGAACTTCGTACCGAATAACTTTAATTAGTCTTTAATTTTTTTTTAATATTTGTTCTGCTAATCGGGACACCGTCACTCAATTTTTTTGCCTTCCTGGAACTCCCACACTAACACTTAAACTTTATGATATGGTATTAAAGTTCAAATTGATTTTTAAGTATTATTACGAATCTTTTGTATGGGAATATAGAAGTGTTGTTTTTAGACTTTTTCAGGCAATTTTTTAAATGTTTCTCTCCGTAAGAATCATCTTCGTACTTCAAGGAATATTATAAAAAAAGAATTAGTGAAATCGGCTCAGCTGCTCTCGAGATTTGCGCTTAGCAACACATTCAGCGATTCATTTTTATATTATAGATATTGAAGTAGGTTTATACATTTTTTTAATTATACCACTTGTCTTTAATATGATTGTGTAAGTTGTGGCGGGAGGTAATTGACAATGGTGAGAGGAGGCTTTCCCTTGGAGGGAAAATCTCAAAAAAGGCAAATAAAAGTATTGGTTAAAAAGATAAGAAAATACAAACAAAATAGAAACATGTTCATGAACAAGAAAATAAGTTTGAAATGAGTTTTTTAATTGGAAGAAACTAAACTGAAAAATATAACAAGAGAGTTATCGGTATGAAATCTCATTGACTCATACTCATGCACAGTTTGAAACACAAAAGCAGGTGAGATTATACATGGCTTATTAATAAAAATCATTTATTTTATAAAATAATTCTCTTATTCGATTTGAATTTGCATTTAGTAGTAGTACTTTTTTAGTACAGTATTATAGTATTTTTGTTATTTTACAAAAAAATATATCTCAAAAACTATATTGTGGTATTTGATACATCTTCACTAGCCTGTTGTATCATAAAAATATGAATTTAATATTTAAGGTTGCCCTTCCTAAAGCTGAGCCTAACAATCCATTATAATGTTTGGTAGGTGAGATTGATTAATTCTCTCATATGAAGAAGAAGAAGACAAGTAAATTATTAGAAAGGTTCAAAATAGTTTAGTTAGATAATTACTTATTACGGCCCATGCAGGCAATAAGTAAAATATCTGCATAAGAGAGTCCAATACATATGTATAATTCCATGGTTGTCATAAGAGATGGCAGATTGGAACTGGAGATGGACAGCAGTATCTGCCTGATAATAGCTCAAAATAATTATGTATAATAATAACAAACAGTGGTTGCTAATCCTCCTTACTGCCAAATGATATAAAAATACTAAATATGATGAAGAAATGGTGTAATTAGATCAATTTGAAAACTGTGTTAACATAGGCATGCTTAACATTTAAAAAAAATCTAGTGTAAAATGCCTGTTGAGAACACAATTCTTGTTTGAATATTAATAAATTTATTCATTGCTTTTGGACATATATAATTTATATATATATATATAAGAAATACAAGGAAATAATACTTTATATTACTATATAATGTATCACATTATAGGTTGCCTTAAGAGTAGGATGTGCGCGGCGGAGAGCATAGAATGGTCTGGGCGTGAGCCCGCCAGGAGCCCTGATCAGTGCAGATCTTGTTGGTAGTAGCAAATACTCCAGCAAGGCCCTGGAAGATTGGCATGGATGTGGGTTTCGCGTGAACAGAACGTTCCTCGCGAGTCAGTCATAAGCTTACGTTTATTCCGCGTGTTTTTTATAATTCGTTATCAATCTTTAATTGCTTTTGTTCATTTGAAAGTAATTTTACAACAGAGACGAAATGAGAAACGATAATCGTATGGAAATAAGGTAGGTAATGTGAGGGTAATAATTTAATAACAAAAATAGAACTAAAGTAAGTAAAGTAAAGTAATTTAATTAATATTGTAAATTTAAGGTCTTATTAAAAGTTACCAAATAATAAATACATTATCGTATCAAAAACTTCACATACCTTTTATGCAGGAGCTGAAGCAAGTCACCAGAAGTAAAAGTGACGCAGTAGCAGAAAACTTCATCTTCACTTGAGCAAAAAACATTTTTTAGATAATATTCAGTTGAATAAATTCTTAGATAGACACATTTAGCACTTAGTCATCCACGCTGGCGAATGTACTCGCACAGTAAGTTGTATTTTGTACCGTGTTTGTGTCGTGTCTACAGAACAATATTCTCTCTAGTCTCTACGTCGTTTCGTTTCTAACTTCAAATAGTTAACAAAGAGGAGGTAATGTAAAAGTATGTTGTAACCATAGGTTGTAACTTAATATTTGGTGTTTACTGTTAAGTCTTATTAAGCTATACCTAGATACCAAAAAAAAACTATACTCTTTAAAAGCCTCTCTGACCTCTATTAAACGAGTATATAATGGTACTCTGTGGCAACACTAGACTAACTGACTGGCTATTGGCTAACGGCTATACAATGTGACATAATGAGGTAATTTGATTTTCGCCATTTTGGCGCTGATAGCAGAAGTGAGCGTCCACGGAACTAATAATAGAGATAGGACAGTGTGACAAAATATATCGATAAAAATTCTATACACCAGGCCTGCCCGTAACGTCAATTCTGTTTAAGTATCATTTTAATAAAACGTCATACAAGAAATAAGAGTATCAATTAATACTTAAGTCCTAGACACATGCTTTATACCTCATAAATAAAACAAAAATCGGCGCTGCGGTTCTCTAAAATCTATACGTTTTTCTTCGTAACTATAGAACGGGTTTTGTTCCGGGTATCATCAGTGGCTATGTTTGGTTTATTCCAGTTTATTCAAGACGCTTAAAAAGGTCTAATGAGTAGGAAAAGCTGAAGTAGGAACTACAAAAAAAATCGTAAACAATTTATTGTTAATCATTCATTTATTCCACGCATAAAAGAAAATCAATAAGCTGTCTATAAGTACAATTAGAATTTTACTAACTTTAACTTATATTAAAGAATACCATACCACAAATCATTGGCGTCATAATAATATTGCTTCGGACGCAATTCCCAAGTTTGATGATTTTTAGTCACGTTAGTCAGTTAAAAACTTGGAAAAAATAAATATTTGACAATTAATTGTTGTCAGCGGTTTTCATTGTTGTAAACAGATATAGTTTTTTTTAGTTATTATAAGCCAGTGCTTGACCACAATCCCACCTGGTGGTAAGTTGTGATGCAGCCTTAGATGGTAAATCGCACTGTCTTATCGTAACCAAATCCTATTCACTCTTGCCTTGAAGACGCCCAATGGAAAGGAGAGGGAGGAATTAAAAATAGGGCAATCCTAAGGCAAATTCGAGTAATTTTCGCTCAAGACTGATAAACCTATTGGGTGAATTCGCATACATTTGAGAGGTTGAACCAAAATAACGAATTTATTTTAGAGGAGCATGTGGGATAAAATAAAACTAAAAATAGATACATATAGTTACGTAATTTTATTTTTTGGAAGAAATATTGTTTTATACACTGTACAATTATTGAGGTTTTTAAGGCTTTTGCAGATTATATTTCCACGCATGTTATTGATATATAATATACGTTATTGTGAGAGTTATTCTTTACAGAACATTAAAGTAAATTTAAATCAGAAAAATTCGTATAGGGAAAACATAACTCAGCCCAAATAAATGATCTGAAACAGATAAAATTGGAGTTAATATAGTAATCACAGAACAAAAATAAGTGATATTCATTCTGTAAATACTAGGAACAGACACAAGCTAGTAGTACCAGTTACTCGACTCCACCGAGTCAGTAATTCATTCTTGGGATGATGATTCTGAATGTATACGCTTTTACAACAAACTCCTAGGAAATAAACAAAATTTGGCCTGCTCAAAGTGCAAACATTTTTATTAAACAAAGTTTGTATAAAACTGGTTATTATAATATTAAGGAATTTATGGATGATAATAAGCCCTGGGAATGAGGTGATCGCTACCAAGTTATTTCTAATTTGTTGTTGTTTTAATTTGTGTGGTTAATTGTGTAACATATATGATTTTAAGCTGTTATTTAAAAAAAAGTCCTGCTGGGTTTCTTGCTGGTTCTTTCCAGGGCAGAGGTATTTTTTCTAATCAGTAGTAATTAAACAAAAGGGTAAATTTCAATAAGTATTATTTATAATCTACTAGCTGGCCAGGCAGACGTTGTTCTGCCCTTTCTGACGACCCTTCCTATGAAAAAACCCTTAAATTCGCAATAAAAAAAAAATTGAAGGTCACTTATCGGGATAAAAAGTATCCTATCTCTCAAGTTGGACCAAACTGAACACAGTGTGCAAAATTTCATTGAAATTAGTTCAATAGTTTAGAAGTTGATCGCGGACAAACAATGTGACACGTAATTTTTATATACTTATAAAGATATTGAATAAAAAAGTTTCTGGTTCTGTTTTAAAAACAAATGTCATTTTTTTCTTCTTTTAGTTCATGGCTTCTTTTGAGAGAATTTTGCTAATATAATAGATATTAGTATTCATTAAATTTTATTGTATGATTAGTAAGCCGCATTTGCCGCGGTCAGTCCATGGATGGGTGACCGTTTTCTTAACATACCGAGATTGAGAGAATAGAGTAGAGAATAGAGAAATCAAAATGCAGATGCATTGTCACTCGTGAGGACTAAGATGGAATGCTTAGTATCCAGTAAAAGGAGTCTCCGGTTCTCTACACTCACCATACGAAACAGCAGCTTTAAGCTGCTATTTTACGTTGGTATTCTGTGAGAATGTGTTATTTAATTGATTCCTACACGCAGGGATTGATTGCGGTTAAGGTACGAGCTTACGCTATCGGTACAAAATACTGATATCGCAATTTTTTAAAGGTAGACCGAATGCGGTTAAAATTCACAGATACGCAACCGGTATAAAATAACGGTGGCGTAATTTTTAAGGGGTTTTGTTACAACTTTGTGTAACCTTTACACAATTGAAATTATTTCGGTAATATCGGGCGGCGCGGTTGAATACAACGTGACGTAGCAAGTTCTCTCACTGAGAGAACTTGCAGCGTCGCTAAGTCGCTGAGAATCTCTCATCTCGGGGATTCCCCGCTCTAAGTCGCTGAGAGATTCTCAGCGACTTAGAGCGGGGAATCCCCGATGAGTTCAGCCGCGAGCGTCTGTCAGTTAGGTACCAGCCACCCATACGACCAGACGGATATCGAAATCTACATCGCTTACACCTTACACTCGCTATCACCTCGATTCCCCTCGCTGAAGCTAAACGATTAATTTCATATCTAGTAATTTTAATAAAATTATAATGGGAAGACAACGAAAGAACGCTGTGTACGCTTTCTTTTCTTTTGACAAAAAGACAAGAACTTCTACCTAGTTAATCCCTTTTTTATAGAAGAGGGGGCAAACGAGTATACGGCTCAACTGATGGTAAGTGTGTGGAATTGCTACTAGGCAAATAAAAGCATCTTCACTCTATTACAAACTATTACAAAGGCAATTTAAGTTTACAAGTACGTAGCAAAAACAAAAGAATAAGGAAAATACAATTAATAATTAGAAGTGAGGAGTGTTTGAGATAGGAAGCCGAGAATAAGTTAGTCGTGATTTAAAATAACCGTTATTCCGGCAGCGCGAGCGTGGGGTCTAGCGTTCAGGACGTTTAAATGCAGACTGCCGGTAAAAACCGAAGGCGCCCGGACTGTCACGAAGGCAGCTCTAACGGAGCCGAGCATTTCCGACCCCAACTGATACGAACCTAGCATCGGCGCGTACTCCGTTACATAAACATGCAAAAGAATGACAAAATTGCATGTCGCCACATCAGCCCCCACGGAGACCTTTAGGCTAAAGGCTTTAGCGTCGATAGAAATCAGGGAATCGTACTCGGCGATCGTAGCGAGACGTCCTGAATTGCGGAGGAGTTGAAAGTGCTCTTGTACCATCACTCGCAGCGTTAGTCCCATGCGTCCTAGGTATAATCGACGTCGCACCAGAACCACCTGGTTCATCCGTCAGGATATAGGCCGGTTTCAACCTGTCGATAGAGACGTTGACTATTCTACCAGCAACGTCAATTTTGAAAAATGTTTTACCGCGCTCTATTACCTTATACGTACCGGCATAAGGTGGTTGTAAAGATCTCCGTACAAATATATGTGAAACAGTCGCTAAATCTTTAAAAACGAAGATTTTACGTGTACCATGTCGAGTAATTGTTGTAGGTAACCTTTTCATATTATGTAAACGCAACCTGTCCAGAAAGTCGGTGTAGTCAGTCAGTCTGTCAGCCGTCGGTTCAAACAAGTCGCCGGGTAACTTAAGCGGTTCTACGTAAACTAGTTCAGCAGTAGAAGCAGACAAATCGTCCTTCCATGCACTACGAATACCCAGAAGTACAAGTAGAAGTTTCTCAGTCCAGTTCTCGTCTGCGTGAACATAATAGCCGCCTTAAGTTGTCGATGGAAGCATTCCACTAGACCATTGGCAGCAGGACGTGAACCTATAAGCGCTGATATCTGACTGAAAAGATGGGATTCAAACTGTTTCCCCCTATCTGTGGTTACCTTTTCTGGGCAACCAAAACGTGATATCCACGATGATATAACAGCTTTTGCTACACTCTCCGCTCTGATGTCCTTTAGCGGCACTGCCTCCGGCCACCTGGTAAACCTATCTATAGCTGTGAAGCAGTATCGGTAATCATCAGAGACGGGAAGTGGACCTATCAAGTCTACGTGAACGTGAGAGAAACGGGCCGTAGGAAGTTTAAAATCCTAGATAGGGGCGTGTACGTGTCTCGATACTTTCGATCTCTGGCAGCGCGCCCAATTCCGGCAATCCTTCCTAATGTCCGGCCATACATACCTCTCAGTCACCAATTTAATAGTGGCCCTAGCACTTGGATGACTAAGTCCATGAATATTGTCAAAAACAATTTTACGGAATGGAGGTGTTATGAATGGTCTATGTCTGGGCCCAGATATGTCACAGAAGATTTTCGTACCACCAATACAGACCTTCTGTAACTTGAGAGACGAACCGGCTCGTAAAATATTTTTGAGTTCTGTGTCCTGAGAAGCTGCTAAGGCAATGGGGTCTAGCGAGCATGTTATTGCATCCGTTCTTGATAACGCATCCGCAACAACATTGTCCTTCCCGGTAATGTGACGGATATCCGTTGTAAATTGGGATATAAAA